CCTCTCATTATATTTATACTTAACTTAAAGAATGAGATTACAAGGATGCCCTTAGTAGGGCGGCTACTAATATAGCTGAACAGTAACAACTTAAAAAAAAACATAAACTAATGGGCCTAAAGCCCAACAACTTCCTAACTAAATAAAAAACAACTCAGACCAACTCAACAGTATTGGAGTTCTATGTTAACACTCTAAAATTTGAACTGCAGCAGTTACAAACTCCATATAGATTACACCTAGACATGGTTGAAAGCTTGCCGGGTGCTATCTGCTGAATCTGATTCATGCATGTACCTGCTGATTTGAACTTTAGATTAGTTTACTCAGCCACCTCCAGTGGTTTCTCTCTAATTTTCTGGAGTCCTTTGGTGGGAAAGCTAGATAATTTATTTCATGGGTGATTTTTTTTAGGTTAATATCTAATTGAGTTCTACCTGATTCCTTGGGACATTTTTGAATCAAGATATTATATACCTGATATCAATAAAAAGGACCAGAATGAGTTCACTTCCAATGGTGTATGTTGGTATAGTCTATTCTCTATAGTTACTTGATTCATTCCCTACCATCTGATTTGGTTTGGTTGGAACTAATTGGCAAGTTGGTTGATATAAGTTCAAAAAAAAAGGAAACAATTCCTGATAATTAGGCGATTCTATTGGAAAGAAATGACCAATAAAAATGTAGTAAGTTGAAGACTTATTAGATAAATAATTAATTGGAACAAAAAAAAAAAGGAAATGAAAGAAATAATAAGCTTGGAACCAGAAAATCTTTCCTTGAAGGTAATGCTAACTATTGTGTGCTAGACACTTATTCATAATTGCAATTTCTCATTCATGTAATGCCTCAATTCATAATCTATTACACCAGAAATTGTTGGGTTTTAATCAGAATCACCTATTTTAGCTGATTAAAACAGAAGCCTGCCCCTTGTAAAGTTGGTTCACCTACTGTATATGGATTGTGAATTGCAAACCTGAATTCAAACCTAATGAACCCATGAATTATCTAATCATGGCACAGCACCACAGCCTATTTATTTGCTATATCTAATTGAACATCTAATTGTCCAGGTGCATTAGCATAGGCTGTTTCTATTTTTAATTGTTATTATTTTTGTGTAATACCATTCAAACTCTGTTGTTTTCTGCTCTGATGCATGGAATTCAAGATTGGATATGAATTTGACTTTATGAGGGAGGCTCAAGCCATGGAGAAAATACGGGATTTTCTTTATGTCAACAACAAAAGGCCTCCTGTTTTAGTGCCACGTCTGATGCCAAACATGGTGACTAGGTAAGCCATGTACAATAATTCTTATTTACTCAGAACTTCAAACATTCACACGGAAAAATCTTTTCTATGCAATTCCATTAGAGACTAAGGCTGGCTTTGGCTTGCTTACAGAGAATTAATTCTGATGAATATTGCTAATTTGTGATTGGAAGAATCATTTTTAAGTTTGGATACATGATTCAAACTAATCCATTTTTCGGACTCAAAACTCATTACTAAAAATATCAGCTTCAAAAAATAATCATTTTGGCCCAAAATTCATTCTTCAAATACCAATTCTTTGGACTAGAATCTTAACCAAACATAGTCTAAGTGGTCAAAATATCCCTTTTCTGTGTGCGCGGATGGGGCTTTGGTTATTTGGGTTTGCTTAAGTGGGTTCAATATTATTTAGACTTCTATGTATCACTTTTCATTGCCATTGATATAATCTGATCACTCAGAGAATTGAAGTATATTTTCCATATTATATAGAGTAAAGGTCTTTCTATTTGGAGGTTTCTGTGGGTGGAAATCAACAGAAACCTTCCAATAGAAAATAGGTCCACTAAAATATATACATTTATGCATTTTACCTTTCTTCTTCTCATCTGGTCACTTGGAAATTCTGTCTTTTCTCCCAAAAACGTAGAAAAGTCTTTTTATTTGCAGATTTCTGTTGAGGAGACAGGTTTACTAAATCAAACAAAATTTCCCTGTACAGTTTATATGATTTAAGCATCCCAATAGGTGATGCAATGAGAGAAAGTAGACTAAGATGGTTTGGTCATGTGCATATAGGACCACCTACAGCACCTATAAGAAGTGGTTTGTTACAAGTTGAAGGGGCTATAAGGGCTAGGGGCAGACCAATAAGGATATGGGTCGAAGTAGAAAGAAATGATTTAGACCCTGTTTGGATAGACTTTTATAAAGTATTTTCGTACTTTTGAAAGTATAAAGTACGAAAAACACGACATAGTATTTGTATTATGTACTTTATACTTTTTGCTTTCATACTTTAAAGGTATGAAAAACCCCAAAAGCACGAAGTCAGCTTTTTATGCTTCGTGCTTTTTGGTGAAATTGTACTTTTGTTTTCGTGCGAACGGGTGGTCACACGTGACCACCCTTCGATAAAACTCTTGATACCAAAGGTGTTCACACCTTTTTACCCAAACGGTTTTCAAAACAAAAATACCAAAAGTAAAAGTATTTTATGTACTTTATACTTTGATGTTTTTAGAAGTACAAAGGTAGAAGTCTATCCAAACAATGCCTTAAATGCTCATAATTTAACAATGGATATAGCATTAAACACAATGGAATGGCGAAACAAGATTCATGTAGCCAATCCCATATGGTTGGGGTAAGGCTTAGATGATGATGATGATGATAGTTTATATGCCTATCTTTACCACTACAACATAGTAGTTTCTTATTAAGGCCCAAATGTAGAATTGGAGATAAATTCCAGCTTAAGGCTATTAAATAAGGTTCTTGAGATTGATATTAGGCAATCACATTCTTCCATTTTGTAATTGGCTTTTATTATCCTTTTGTATAAATATATGCATTTATCAGCTCCAGTGAGTTCTATTGCTTCATGCTCCCTACCAATTCATATGATAATCCTAATTTTTCTAAATGTTATATTGTGCTACCTTAATAAACCTGAAAAGTCTTAATTTGATTGATTCCAACTACTGTGCAGTTTTTCTTGCAGTTTTGCAGAAGTATATAAAACTCATCTCTGATTGTTAGGTATTGGTTAGTTTACTTTTGCTAATAAAAATTGTCTGTTCTTGGTTAGGAGAGTTTTAGTAATGGAATTTATAGATGGAGTACCAATTCTAAACCTTGGTGATGAGATGGCTAAAAGAGGCATAAATCCTGATGGTAAAGTTGCTGCCATGGCAAAGCAGTAAGCTCCCTATGTTACTCTAGATGGATAGTTTGAAGTTTTCCTTGCCTTGTTTGTTCATTGTATGAATAATTGTTGCGTGCTTGTTTTTATATCAATATGTATTTTATTTTAGGAATGGTTTGTAGAAAAGAAGTTTATGACTTGTTGATATTCAAATGCTGATTTTTTTTTTTTCAACGGAATCTTAGAATTCACTGTTTGGCTTTAGCAACCTCTCTCCTGGACCAAAATCATGCAAGTGCCAGAAAAAAACAAAAATAAAGATTTTTCAATATCAATTTCATCTTTGTTTTGTTTGGTCTAAGAGAGGAAGCTTTATTGATCTTTATAATTTTCTGTCAAATTTCCACCCTTACAACTGAAATCCTCTTTACTTTTAATATGGCGACATCTTTCTGCTGTTCACCTTCTGTCTTTTCTCTTATTTTAATCAGTTTGACTTGGTTTCATGAAATCTAAAGCTCAATCAACTCTGCTATAGCTTGCTGCAAGATGTTTTATTTACATTACAATAAATTAGACCTCAAAAATATTGTAACACCTTTCTCAAAAATTCTGTAAATACAGGAACATCCTAAGAAGTTTGACTCTAGCATATGGTCAAATGATCTTGAAGAGTGGTTTGTTTCATGCAGACCCTCATCCTGGAAATATTCTGATCTGTAAGGGTTCAGAGGCAAGTAGATTACTGATTTTCAGCCAGAAAACTCATTGCTTTATTTTGATTTTGTATTTTGTTGTAATTGTTCATATTCTCACAATTAGTTGGATAAAGGCAAAAATGGATTTTCCCCCGTACTTTCAATTTTATGTGAAGTTGGTTTTGTTGATTCAATCATTTGAATGAGAATAGGCTGCCTTGTTATGACAACAAAGATTCTATGTGATGGTGCGCAATCCGGCCGGTCCTAGCTGTCAACGACCTTGCCTCTGAACGGAGCTACAGGGAACCTAAAACGGAGAAGATGAGGAAGCTCCGGGGGAACCCGGTGTGATTGCTCTGAAGCTCAAGTTAGAATTCTCTCAAAGGCAAGATAAAACCAGATGGCGCAAAGTTCACATACCTTGTTCTTGGGGGGTAGGGAGCCTTTTATAACCACCTCGTGCACTCACTTCTAAGCTTCTGTCAGGTCGGGTATG